GTGATCAAGCATGTCACCACCCACCTCTTATTAAGATACACAGACGATTGACATGTTTGACAACGGGGGATACCGACCAACACACCCATGAAGATCCTAGTACCCTAGGATTAGACGGGAGTGCCAACTTTAAGGACGTGCGGAATGTGTTTTGCGTGATTCAGAAAAAGGAAATAGGGAAGCAGTGTATTTTCATCCTAACGGTTGAGAATTAACGCGGACGCAGGGCCCAAAAAAATGAGATACATTGTGGGTATGGATGAAAAAGAAGATAACTGAGTCATGGGTTTGTTTCCCAGGGAGAGGAAGGTTCACTGGCATCGGCATGGTCATGGACATGTGCTCTAAATCCTCGAATATGGCCTAATTGGGGACGGGAATTGAGGGCTCTTAGGCAGCCAGATTTCAGATAGTCAGGCAGTGATTGTGTTATTTAGCAGCAACCAATTTACAAGCGGTATAGAAAGAGGGGGTTGAATGAATGTCAGGAGTCCTGCAAATGGCACCTGTTACCGGTGCCGTTCCACAATGCCTTCTTGACGCTCTGACCAAGTTAGGAAAACGAGGTCAAACCAACACAAAGTTAAATTTAGTTTAAAAATCTCTTAAACTTTATTTTAGGAAATAGTCGTCCTGCCATTCTTCGGCAGCAGATATACGCATGCCTATGGATCTATTCTAATAGGAACAAAAAATCTCTTTTGAAATTGTATGCTTTAAGCATGAGTTACAGGTTTCGCCATAGAGTACCTGAAAGATTGAAAAAGCTTTGAAAAGTTTAAAATATAGCAAGCGATGCATGGGTAAGAGATAATAAAGGACTAAAGGCAATGTAGCAATTAGTTTCTTTGGGAGGTAAGCAGTAGACATCTTCTTGGTTGATTGGGATCAAGATTTGCACAATAAACAATGATAGTATAATGATAAAACTAAAGTGGTAGAATACAAATAAGTAAATTGAATATATCATGGACGATTATGAGGTGAGCTGAGGTGTGTAATGTAAAATAAGGTTAAAATGATTGTATTTTATTTAAAATTAAGTATATACTGTCATATAGGACATTGGACTAAACTACCCAGCTAACTTACTGAAGAGCTAAACGCAGAATAATCGGATCATCTCCTTCTCTAGAGCTTTGCAAAGCATGCTTCTTTGCTATACTCATATCATCAAACTGCTCTCGCAATTCATTTATGTCTGAAATAAGAATTCGACGAGCATCAGCCTCATCTCGATATTTGTTGTACTCTTCACTTAACTGCTGCGCTAGGTGCTCAACCTATGAAATTTGCAAAAAATAAAGTTAAGAAAGTTCAATAAAGGTTCCAAAAAAGGTATAAAAAGCATTTTGGCAAAGCAATGCTGGTATATCAACAAAAAATTGTGGTAGCAAACCATACATATAAAAAAAATGATATGAGATGTATTCACCCAATTTCGTTTAAGGTGATGAAGGACTGGTAGAAGAAGAATTTTCCCAC